AAAAAATTAGCTGGGCGTGGTAGCGCATGCCTGTAGTTCCAGCTACTTGGAAGACTGAAGTGGAAGGATCGCCGGAGCCCAGCAGGTCGAGGCTGTGGTGACTGGGAGCGGCCGCTGCACTCCAGTCTGGGTGACAGAGTGAGACTCCAACTCAAAAAAAAAAAATATGCCCTATTGACTTTGACTCATCAAGACCTTCCAAGTTCTCAAGTAGCTTTACCAGTAGTCTGTGTTCTTTGCCTTGTAATCCCTTCATCACTCCTAAAACCTCCTGATTTCAAAACCCCTTAAGCTTTTTCTAGACTGTTAATTACCATAAAATAAAGAAAAAAAAAGGGAAGTCTCAATGTGGAATGGATGAGGTGGAGGGGAGTGGGTGTCCCCAAAGGTGGTCGGAGACCAGGAAGATCACCCTTTCCATCCACAGCTGAGCATGTAAGTGTTCTAGGGGGGTGAGTAGACGCTTAAGCGTTCCCAGCCATAGACTTAATGGTGCTTATGTTGAAGACCTTTCTTTTCGCCTCTTCCTGCCTCAAACCTGTTTGATGACTGTGTCGAGATCCTGCTTGCTGCCCTGCCAAAGGTTGGGACCAATGATAGCCATCGGACTGAATAAAACTCCCTTTGTTCCCGAGCTCATGTTACCCAGTAAAAATGTTCTGCCTATAATCAGTGCTCACTGTGACCTTAACTTTTCAGAATGGACTTTGATGATGAAGATGGTGAAGGCCCCAGCAAATTTTCAAGGTAAGTGTATTTTATTTCCCTTAGATATAAAGAAGCCGATAGCCAGCAATCACCTGGTTGAAATATTCTGGAATGTAATGTCTTTTGTCATGGAAGAAGCCACGGTCTATACCTTGAGCCTCTTTCTGGTCCTTCATTCCATGGCAGTATTTGGCCTAGTGGCAGCTAGCTATAAGCAACCATCCCAGCCTAGATTATAAAAGATTAAGTTAAAAATCGTTAACTCTGTTTGCTTTTTAAGACAACAAATGCTGATCTTGATGGATTCCTTTTTAAAAGACAGCTCTAGAGTTCAGGTTTGGAAAAAAAAATACCAAGATAAGTCCTTTTTTTCTTTTTCTTTCTTTTTTTTGAGTTGGAGTCTCCCTCTGTCGCCCAGACTGGAGAGCAATAGCCGCTCCCGGCCACCGCAGCCTCGACCTGCTGGTCTCCGGCGATCCTTCCGCCTCAGCCTTCCGAGTAGCTGGAACTATAGGCGCGTGCTACCACGCCCGGCTCATTTTTTTTTTTTTTAATTTTTATTGTAGAGATGAGGTCTCACCAAGTTGCCCAGGCAGGTCTCGAACCCGCGGGTTCAATTCACTCACTTCAGCTTCCCAAGGCGCGGTATTATAGGTTGAGCCACAGAGCCCGGCTCCTTTTTTTCTACCATGGAAAATGAGGAGAAATAGGAGAAACCTGGGTGACCCTATTCTGGAGGCAGGACATAAAACTGGATTTTGAGTTTCTAAGAAGTATGTTGCTACTGGCCACGTGACAGCATCTTAAGCTGGTCTCCATGGGGCCGTCCTGAGTGTAGACTGCCTCACAAGGATGCTGGATCTCGGGTGCCATGAGGGTATACACATAACATACATGAAGGGTAAGGCAGGCCCAGCTCCATGACTCCTTGTATGTTTGTGTGTGTGTTTTTCACTCTGTTTAAGGTATGGTAGGAAGTTTGGCAGATGTTGAGAGAAAGGCACAGATCATTCCATCATTCTGAACAAAATTCCCGTCTGTACCCAATTTACTTTGGAAAGGTCTGCCTTGGCATTCCTTCCCATCAGCCAAGCTTCCAAGCCTTCCTGATTCTCAATTGTCGATGAACTTGAAAACTTGTCACAGGTGACGGGTGCTTTTCTCCATAACTGTGGTCCATAGTGTGGCCCAGCAGCCTCAGCTATGTTAAAAGTTTTTAGAAAAGTGGCATTCATGTTCAAACGTGAGCCCACTAAACTGTCCCGTGGCAGTTAATTTTGGTGATGTCTCCCTTACAAAGTGTGCTGTGGTTGTGAGTTAAACATGCTTTCCCACAAGTACAAGAGAGCCATGCATCTCATTACTTTCCGGGGTTCCTGGAGTCTCCAAGTCCATAGTAAACTTCTCATCATGCCAGACACTTTCCTCCCAAGGACGTTTCCTTCCGGCTTCCAGCTTCAGCTATGGGTGACATGGTAGACAGGAGATGGAAGACATTTTGATCGCAAATGACTTTGTTGTTTCTGATCAAAACAAGATATGAGTCTCAACAGCAAAATCATGTACTGTTTGTCCCTTGGTTGAGACAGAACCTCAGCTTAGACATCAGTCTCTTTCTTTCTTTCCTTTTTTTTTTTTTTTTTTTTGAGTCGAGGTCTCTTGAGTCAGGGTTTCACTCTTGCCCAGGCTGGAGTGCAGTGGCATGACCACCGTTCACCACAGCCGCTGCCACCTGGGTTCAGGTGGTTCTCCCACCTCAGCCTTCTGAGTAGCTGGGACTACAGGCACATGCCACCATGCCTGGCTACTTTTTTTATTTTTATTTTTTGTAGAGGCAAGGTCTCGCTATATTGCTTAAGCTGGTCTCGAACTCTTGGGCTCAGACAGTCCTCCTGCCTCTGCCTCCCAAAGTGCCAGGATTACAGGCTTGAGCCACCACGCCTGGCTCCTGCCCATTTCTTAGGTTGTGTTTTAATAGCAGGGAGGGCTTTACTGCTGACACAGAGCTAGCTTCTAGCTTCAGAAGCAAGGGCATGCATCTTCCATTCCTGTTTGCCGTGCCCAGCCTCCCTTTGTAAGGAAACGATGGCTTTGATTTCCTAGTATCAAAGTCTCCCTTGAGATAACATTCCAGAGCATGTTAACCTCAGGAAATGATGGCTCCTGGGGTCTCAGAACATGGAGAGGAAGAGCGATGAGGAGTGACATTTGCCTAACATTGAAGATCAGTGTCAGTGATGAAATAACAGTGCAGGGATACAAAGAGCTCGTTGTCTGAGGCCCGGCCATCAGGAAACAGAAACTCTACACTCTGGGTAACTATCTCATGAACCTGTCTATGAGTCAGTTTTTATAGAGTCAGGGTTCAAACTTAGGCTTCTCTGAACCATATCCTTTGCCCTGCATGTTAGAAATAAGAGAGAAAGATGGGCTGTGCTTCTAACATCTGCTGTCACTTACAGAGTTGAGTCTGAAGGACTCCGGGGGCCATTTAATAACTCTATCACAGTAGGATGGCGGATGTGCCCATGGCAGATGGGCCTGTGGGTGCAACTGAGCTGCTCAGCACTGGGAGACAAGTGAGTCTCCCCTACCCCTCTGTCCTCCACTCTGCAGTGGCTGTGGCTGCTGTCCAGAGGAGGGGTGGAGAGTGAGCTTCAGACCTGCCAGGGGTGGGATAGCATGCCTGGGGCCTCTCTTGTCTCCTGCTTCTCTTCTTACAATCAGTCAAGAGAAGCCCCTTCAGGTGAGGCCCTGGAAGAGCTGGAGGCTGCACTGTAAACCAGCCTCCACCACAGTTTGTTGCCTCAGAATCCAGGCAGGGTGCTGTGCTGTGATTTCTGTCCCTTGATGCGTGTGCAGTTAGCTTTCCCAGCTTTTCTCAAGGGGGGTTCCAAGTTCAAATGTCCTTCCGTGCCTGTCTCCATTTTTTATTTTGGAAATATCATCACACAGGAGCTCACTCACAGCTGACTTGGCGTGGTTCTTGCCTTCTCCCAGAGAGCCCGTCACAGCAAGCCTCAGGTGGAACAGCATAGCAGACAGGAAGCTGCTCACTGCCGCCTGGCCTTAGGCACACACGTGCACACACATACACACACATGTGCACACGCACTCCAGGATCTAGCCTTCCAGGGCCAGAAGTGCTCGTGCGCCCCTACACCACCCCTCAAGGTCACACAAGATTCATGCTGCTTTGGGAGCTGTGATGTATAGAACTTGGCTCTGCTGACATTAGCATTTTCCCTCCTCTCACACACAGGTGTGAGGACTGGCTGGTGGGGGGACAAAAGCTAGATTGCTGTGGGCTGAGGACTGACTGGGACCTGAGGAAATGGAGATGTGTGGGAACAACTCTGAGCAGTGGGGGGGGGGCAAAAAGGAAGGGGACCTTGGGAGCTTGGGGAGGGGGTAGACCGTGAGCACATCTACATGAGGAGGGGAAAGAGTGAAGATAGCCAGAGATCTGGAAGACTCAAGAGTGAGGTGGGGAGAGAGGGGTCCAGCGGGTGGAGGTTCAAGAGTATGCCTGGAGGGGAGTTTGGTGTGCCACTAGGTTGAATTCCCAGGAGACTCACTGAAGCAGAAATGTCAAGACCTTCAACCCCATTGGAAACTGTAGGCCCTACATGTGATGTGGCACTGGCCTGTATAAATGCACAGTTTCCCTCCAGCAATACCCAGAGGTTGGATACAGGAGAATGTGAACTTTTGAGACTCAGGGTTGGCGAGTTATGGCAGGTGCTGTGGAGCACAGGGGTGGAGGCCATTGATGGGAGGGAGGGTGGTTGAAGAGGCCACGCTGTGGCACCAATGCAGAGGGAGTCAAAGGAGGCTGGGAGCCAGGAAGCCGTGAGAGTGAGGGTTGATGACGTGAGAGGAAGTGAAGGAGGCCGGAGGCTGGAAGTCAAAGGGGCCCAAGAATAGGTCTAAAGTTGTGGGAGTCTGAGAGGGCTGGGCAGGCAGGAAGCTGTGGTCAAGCAGTGGGAAGTCGCCACCCTGGGAGAGGCTGGCTAAGGTCCAGAGGAGGGGGGACCCTGGGAGAAGAGGCCGTGGGGGGATGGACAGGTGGGGTATGCGCCCACTGTGTGCTGAGGCTGTCAGTGCTGGGTGCAGAGAGCTCGGGGTGGGAAGCCAGTGGTGACAATGACAAAGAGCCTGGCGAGTGGTAGAGACAGATGGCATGAGCTTCAGAGGGGGAGGACTTTTTGCCGAAGGAATGAGGAGTGAGGATGCAGAGACAGCCTCTCTTGGAGTGTGTGACTTGCCCTCCCTCCTGCCTCCTGGAATCCCAGTTATCAAGTCGCCGATCCAAACAGCGGGCGGTGGTGAATTCATCGCCAGGGAAACTGTGATGACACACCAGAAAGCATTTGTGCAAAGACACATCTCCCTGGCAGCTGGGGGTGGTGCTACACCCTCCTTCAGAACAGTCAGCACAGATCCCCTCCTGTCGCTGTCCCTGCGTGGATGGTCCTGGTCCCCCTGGGAGGTGAATGTCCATCCTGCCCAGTGCATGCTGCATCCCCACACTTAAGGAGAAAACCCTTTTCATGGCACTGAGCGATTCAGGAGCTTTGTCCCATGTTAACAGCCCCAGGGCTGATGTGTTTTCTAGGGAGTCCCAGGACTCCTTCCTGTGCCTGTAGCTGGGGTCAGCTACCACCAGTGTGTTGTGGCATCTTGAATATTGTTTCATAGGGAGGACAGCTAACATCCGGGAGCCGTCATCAACAGAATCAAAGTTACACACCGTGCTCTTTGTGTGACTTACATGCATATATGTATGTGCGTAGTATTTCATGAAAACAAGAGAGGAAACATACCTAATGGAAATATCTTTTAATGTTAGGTTTACAACTTAAGAACAACTGAGTATGCACTTCCAAACTTTGGTTTTAATTGTCATGGCTTGTTATCAACCTGGATTTTGCCTTGTTCAGACTTACTCTGAATCCTTTTTCAAAAAACCCAGAAGGCCTTCAAGGAGTTCTCATGTCTATTATTGTGGATTCAGCTCCAGTGCTTGGGTCTTCCCA